GCACGCATTCTACTTCCATTCAGAATCGTAGTGGCTTACTGAATGCGATGTGGCCTATACAATGACTTGCGGTGGCCAGCCGATGTACAAGTCAGTGTTTTATCCTCCCAGACGAATCTGGTACCAATTTACCGTCCCCGGAGGGTAGAAGGCTTGGTTGGCCTGGGAAGTGGGAAGTTAACGACTCAAAATTATTGAGAAGCCTTGAGAATGGTAAAATGCCTTGAAAGTAATAAATAGAAGCCGTGAAAATGCAGAAATAAAAGGTGACTCGACGAGGTCTGAGGCCCATAATAGACAGAAACTGCCGAGAATGTTCGGTAGAAATTCCGAGAGCAATGCATTGATAGCTCAGCAAATAGTATATTTTTATGTCTGTGACTTAAAAAAGGGCATGGTTAGCATCAATTACAGCTCAACGACTCATACGGATGCCGTTGTACCAATCAAGTTAATTATGCGCTCTTATCGTGGGAACAAACCTGTGCAGGATACGCAGCCGAGCACAGAAGGTATTGCTCGAGAGAGCAACCAGGTAGCTTTGCGCAGAGGCGATAACGTGACCAATGAGGCTCTGCCGAGGTGCGTTTATTGCTGGTTGAAAACTTTTCCCAATTGCCCGCGATGGCCCCTGAAACATGGGTGTCATACGCAATTTTTGAACGCTCCCAGGGAGGCAGAAATTGGTGATGGGACGGTCTTAAGGGTGCTCTTTTGGGTGAGATATTCTGTTATTTTTTAGGCAAGCAGTTCCCCCCGAAAATACGGTCATTTTTTAGTTATCGTCGCACCTTTCATGAGCTCATAGACCAGGGTGCCATAGTCAAACTGGGAGAACACAGAAATTTCGCAGGTAATGTAACTCTATGCAAGCTGTATCAAGAATTGTGGAATGAACGTTTAGAGGCCGCTTTTTGAAATTGGGAGGTATCCAGGGTCCTCAAATTATCGCTAAGTATGGGTAAAAGAGCCAAGACCTAGAGAGATTAACCTGCTCCTACTTCTGCCCCCGTGGACTGAATTTACCTTTAACATTTCGTCCTACTGTCGTTATACAGCCGTGGAATCTCAACCATCTCTATATTCTTTAGCCCATGATTTACTCTTCTTTTCCATACTCATTCTCTCTGCGCCGTACGTACTACTATAATGCTCAGGGCCACAGTCTAACTTAGGGGCGTTACTGAGCCAAGGTAACGCGCCGAAAGCTCTGTCTCTAGAACATGTAAAAACTTATCTATGCAACATGTGAGATTCCTTCAGTAGGATCCCAGTTCCCGCGCAGCGAAATCAAAGGATCAACAGCATCGTGGCTACGAGATGAGAACAGATCGATCTGGAATACACTTCTCATTTGCTGCCCCCTGGGGGCGTTCAAAAATTGCGTATGACACCCATGTTTCAGGGGCCATTCGCGGCGCAATTGGACGAAAGTTTTCAACCAGCCATAACGCACGCTCGGAGAGCCTCATTGGTCACGTGTTATCGCCTCTGCGCAAAGCTACCTAGGTGGTCTCATCAGCAGTACCCTCCTTGCCATGCGACGTACTAGGTACGAGTTTGCTTCTACGGTAAACAATGCACAACAAAGACAGAATTAGTTTGCATAGGTATGAACGGGACCGTAATTTTTTTTCATTCAATCCAAACTTTCACCTAAACCCATCACAGCGACGAAAGAACTCGTCAAATGAATCGTCACAAGGTTTGAAGCTGCGACTTATTAACTCACTTACGACAGGAAATTATAAATTGGAGTAATTTTCGACCTGAGGAAGCGACAGTGAATGCAAACTTTTAATCTTTCTACACATATATAGGCGGAATTACGGAAAAGACTGATCTCGGGATACAGCAAAACCTCACTGCGTTCGGCGTCATCACCCTATGTGGGTATGTAAGGAGTTCCTCTGGACCTCACAATGAGCCCAAAGGAGAATTAGTACTTATTACTGGAGCGGTAGGTCATCTCCCTGCAGCGTATTTATTGATAGAAAAATAGGTGCGAAACTGAATGGCTCAGTATGAGAACGTGAAAATGGTTATATTGCATAATAAATGTACCTCGTTGGAATAAGTCCTTTAAGAGAGGGAAACAGTTGAGAACGTTGGTATGACTTTTGTATTGAGGAGCAACGTAGCGGCAGCTCAGCAAATATTATAGTAAATTCTGAGTCAGCGACTTGAATTACTATCAAAAAAGTAACTCAATAACTCGTATGAATGCTGCTGAACCTGTCGAAATAATTAGGCAATTACGTCGCAGGAGCAAACCAGTGCAGGATACGCTGCCCAGAGAAGAGGCTAGCACTCGAGGGACCACCCAGGTAGCTTTGCGCAGAGGCGATAACGTGACCAATGAGGCTCTGCCGAGGTGCGTTTATTGCTGGTTGAAAACTTTTCCCAATTGCCCGCGATGGCCCCTGAAACATGGGTGTCATACGCAATTTTTGAACGCCCTAGGGGGCAGAAAATGTTGGAGGAAAGGTTAATCGACGATCGAGCGTTGACATCCTCATCGCAAAGGCCATTGACAGATAAGTATTTATTTCCTTTTCAGTAGTTCAAGCGGAAATGGCCTTTCAAACAAGCATGCGGAGATGACTTGGATTATCTTCAATATATGTTGGTTTGTGTTTTGCCCGTCCTTTCTTACCAGGGATAGTAATCAGCGTTATGATATGATTTAGCTAACGTAACCTATATGATCGGCAAGGGGAGAATCCTCCTGAAAATGCCGCCACTCTTGGAGGGAGGCTGCATGGAGGGGCGGAGGGGGGGGGGGGACTGTGCTAGCCAGACATCTAGGTACACTCCTTGTCCCTAAGACGGAGTAGGCGGCGTTTGAACATGGCATAGAATGGAAAATCCCTTACTTGTAAGGAACTTTTCGTCGTTTCCAGTTTGAGACAACACACAGCCGCAGCTACCACATCTCAGGGATTTCGAGTGAAGCTTCACGCAGAGGCGATAAGGTGACCAGTGAGGCTCTGTCGAAGAAGTAACTGGCTGAGAACTTTCCAATTGGTCGCGATGGCCTGTGTAACATGGACGCATACGCCAATTTTTGAACGCCTTGGGGCAGAAATCCGAGATCTGTTCCAAGGGAGGCATTCCTTTTGGTGTTCGTTTCCCTTTTTCTCTCTAGTCATATGATTGATATACACACAACCAAGCAGCCATCCATCTCATCCATAATTTTAGTCTTTGCCATCAATGCTGAAAATATGAAGCGCTGGAAAAATTTTCTCATTTGAGTTCGCTCAACTCGGCTTCAGAACTGCGATGGCTTAAATGTGTGTCTTAAACTTGACCACACGATTCGATCGATGGTAGGAGATTAAACTCTAGGGTCCTGCCCGAGGTTCAGGCGTCATCCGGGCAGGGCGCAGTTTGTCGACGGGGGGGCATTCTGCTTTCCATAGATGTGCCGACCCATCTAGGTAGCCTTTTCTCGAGTTGACACGTTTTAGGATGGTGGCTAGACGATCCTGCACCAGCTTCACAAGGGTTCACAAGTTTTACCAGGGTGAGATTTGTGAACCGGGGAACTGGGAAGCAATGGTAGCTAAAAAAAAAGCGTTCCAGGTTTAGCATCCTTACTTTTCCTCTTGTGTTTCTCTCGCAGGTTAGTGTTCCTTTCACGAGCTGAATCATGATGAGATTTCTCTAATTTTGCGAACAATTAACACAAACAAACTGTAAAAATTGCCAAAACACTTTCAGTTACAAAAACTGCAGAAAGAATCCACTCTCTCATATACTTCATAAAGACAATGAACAACGTACCTTAAAAAAAAGAAAATGCAGTGAAAATTAGGGCTAAACCTGGCCGGAAACAAAATGATCGCCGGGGCGTCATGAACGCGCCGCAGCGACGTCTCCGACCGTCTGACGCGCCTATTCAACTGCCCGCGTGACGGACTGCGCAAAAAGTAAAGTTGTGTACAAGTACGCCACTTATTCGCCCCCCCCTCCCCGGCGCGGGAAAGGTGATTTCCAGAGCTCGTCCCGCCTCAGCTATGCAACCTCTCCTCTGAGCTCTTATATGCAAATGTGAAAAAATCGGGTTGTGAGAAAGTGGAAATATCGCTCATGTCCTTTTTCCAGTCAAATCATTTCCCGAGACTGCAAGTCATAGATAGCAGAGATCAAAAACAGGAGTTCAAACATTGTGCTAGTTGTCTTAGTAGTGGAGAAAAAAAGTATGAAAAACCGCCCTCAATCTGACCCTCCGCCTTGCACTTGATCATCGGACGTTAGTAGGATTGTCGAGATCAACAGTGATGTGCAGAAGGTGGCATACTGCAAAGCGCGGAGAGAGTCTTAGAAAATGATGGGCAATCGAGCCAACGGCATCAGTACGAAGACACGGGCAAGGTAGGCAGGCATGGGCCTCCTTGGGCCTGAAATCGGAGTTTAATGTTCTTTGCGTGCCATTCTGCCACGTTTTGAATGCAGAGCCAACCTTTCTGCAGTCGCCTACTGGATTATTTGACACAGTTGCAAGAGGTTTTATAGCTCCTTAGTTTTTTTTTTTTGCGGAAATACCTTTAAAAGTATCAGTTTATTTTGGTCGAACTTGTAGGAATCTCATAATTGATAAAGACCCATTTGTGGCTTGGTGCCGGATGCACTGGAACTGCTATACAGAAATTTGAAGAATGTGAAACAGCTACAATAGTTTCTTGCCTCCGGAAAAGAGCTTTATTCGTTTGACCTCATTTTGCTTTATTTCAGACACATCTCGACCGGGCAGTGGCCGTGGATCCCTCATGTTTTGAGCTGCTACACATGCGAGGAAGGTTTTCCTACCAGGTTGGGAAATGACGCATTACTGCTTTCCATTTTAATTGTGATTCACAGGCATGAGCTTCATGATACACATTAGACAAGGTGTCTTTTTGCAACCTGAAACCGTATTTGAAGGCAGAGTCCAAAACTCCACTATATCCCCTATCGAAGTTCCATGGAAGTTTGAGACCATTTCCTGATCAAAGCGCCCACGTTCATTTGATGTTCCCGCGCCCTCTCTGGATATTATAGCCTCGGCGCTGTTGTGCTGCGACGGGGGGCCTTTTGCACTATCTTATTGCCTTCCTCAGTTCTTAGTTTACATGCTTCACTCTGGCGAAACCTTTGAGTCTTGTTGAAGCTGAACAAGGTAGTCATTCCATCATGTTAGATAAATCCCTGTCAACTGAGAAGAGGCTCTCTAGATAAGGCCCGACCACGTCAATGGCGCAAATAGCGAAGTGGCAAAATGACCCCTCCCGGGTCGCACAAACTCGGCCGTATATACCTTTATGAGTATATCCATAGTCCTAGCTTTGCGTTCTCAAAAAGGGAGATTGATTAACGCCGTTCAGCTATTTAACATGCGCGTTCGTCTGTCTCCGTCCACCTGTTCCAGCATCGGCTCTATATAGGGTGTTGTCTTGGAATTCCACTCAGAACCTGCCGGTACTCCTTCTGATCACTTGATTGATATATGTAATCCCTAGATACTATATGGCATGTGATTATGACCCGTAGGTACCCCATAAGATACTTGAAGCGTGACCTCGCTTGAACTGAGAGGCACGCCTAGATAACGTGATCATTCTACTACCTGACGGTCCGAGACCATCCCGTGATCGTACCACCGCTACCACCGAGTCCCATCCGCGCCTCCTTAAATCTATTACTATTAGGTTGTTCGAATAGTCCTGCGACACTTTGTCTTGAACTATTCTAGAAATAAGACAAAAATCATTGATTTTTATCTGATTAGGTATGAGCTGTCTCCTGGTGTGTGAAATGGGATATACATCCGAATGTTTCAATGGGCTCTGTGGAGTTTTCAAATGCTTAAAAATAACCTCAGAAGATCCGAGTACTTCTCGTACCTATCCGATATTATATGGTTCTGTAGCGGACTCCGCCATAGTCGAGGAAGCTAACACTTACGTTGTCTTGAGGAAGGATATCGCTTGCCATAGCAGAGAGTTCCTTTTGCATCAGCGCTTCCAGGCTGGACTTATTCAACTCGGAAGTAGGCAATGTATAGGTCGGCCACAGAACAGCACAGAATGACGGCCCTTTACTCAAGCTTCTTGGCGCAGCCGAACGTAACCACCAGTAAGTTGGCAACCTCTCTAGGCTCCACCTAACTGACAACTGCCATGCTTCTCCGCAGTCTCGGTTATCGGAAAAATTTTTTATGAAGGATGCCTCATGAGTTGAACCCCTCTGACAAGTCATACCGAATGACCGTGACTGAGTTTTTTTTCCTTGTACACACTGGAGGAACATTTGTGAGATCTTGTGGTTGGTAGAGAGTGGTGGGGTCCTTGCGTACATCATTGCCACAGTGTCCTCGCCAGCGATCTCTCAACAGAAATGTAGATTGCCACATGCCAAAAGCAGATGCTGCATGGAGATAAAGATTTCAGTTAGCGTTATTGGTGGGACTCCAAAGCGATATCTCTGGATACATAGGCATAACGGTAAGGATACAGTCCACTCTAACCAACCTCACAACATGGATGACGTCACGCTTGAATTCTTCAAAAATACTCAATTTTTCTCTACCGCTCGGCAATGCGAAGACCGCATGTTAGGATCAGGCCACACCAAAAGATCGTGGATCTTGATCTGAGAATGCGACCATACCCAGCTTATTCATCAAAGTTAGCAGTCTCTAACTACTACCTTTTTTGATCCCTACCGCATCCTTAAGAAGGCAAAAATTCCGAAAATCGACGTCTACTCAAAAATGAGGTCCACCTCTTCTTCTTATCATAGTTGCCGTAGTTCTATAAGAATGGAAATGAGAAGCTGTGCAAAAGAAGGGCACTAGTCCTAGTCCTTAGTGGTGATTACCTTGTAGATTGGAGATGTCTTTTAGTGACTGAAAATTTAGTCCGAAAAATTGGTCAAAGTGTCGCAGGACTTTTCGAACAACCTAATATATCTAATTCGTCATATAGGGCACTTTCCATGATCTTTCACTTTTTCTTTCACCTACTGGATCACTATTATATAAGCTCATAACTCATTTATTCCTGAAAGGAGGCGCTTCAGCCTTAAAGCTAAGCCAAAGAGATTATGGCCAGCCAGGTGGGCCGCGGAGCGGCATCCTCTTCACAGGCGGGTGGCTCCATCTTCTCGTATTTTGGAGCTGCGAAATCAGTACATCCTCCACCCTTGTTGACAAAACCATGATATTCAAGAAGAAGAACATCAACAAACATAAAATGAATGCGGGCGCTGCCTTTAATCATGAAGTGTGGAGCATACCTTGACTTTGCGCTGCATCACTTCAACACCTAAGTTGGTTCTTTCAGGTGGCAAATTTGAGCTTCTTTGAGCGGTTGGCAGCGCGAACGATGGGAACCTTGCCGCAAGTCTCCATGGACGCTGCTCTGAAGGACCTATTAGAGGTAAGATATTTTCGAATGCTACTGTATGGAAGAACAGAGGTGGTCTACCGGCAGATGGTCTGCTTGAAACGCTCGCGGTCAAGGGGCCAAATCCCGAACTGTTTCCCGCTGAGGCCAACCAAATCCTTTTTCCTATGGGGACGATGAGTGGTACCAGATTCGCTTGCACGCTGACTTGTACATCGACTGACCCCCGCCGGTCATTATAGGCCATATCGCATTCAATATGCCACCACGATTCTGAACGGAATTAGAATCCGTGCCGCTGCCCAAAAAGGAATTGATCAAGAGCAAAAGCTCTATCCTTTCATCCTCTCTACGGTGCGAAAACGGCACAGGTATAGGACTGTAACCTGAGTCTTTCCGACCAGTTTTGAAAGTGTGGACTCGAGGGCTGAGATTTCCAGCAGACCTTCAAAATCTTTCACGTGCTCTTACGTGTTCCTTTTCCGTACAGCCCCGTTCTCCTAAAACCGGTTCTACAATTGATTGGGTGCATTCCTTTCGATTTTAGGCCGAGCAGCTCCGACCAGGCATTACAGAGAACAGATTGTACCTTGGACGGGTATTGTACGCAAAAGGTGATTACGCTGAGGCAAAAAAGTGGCTTGTTGAGGTAACGGATTCTATTTTCTATTTTTCCGACGTACTTCTCTTACATTGTGACTCTACTCACTTTTCTTCGGAACACATCATTGGTTGAGATTTCGGTCTAGTTTGTGCAACCCCCAACCCCCCCCCCCCTCCGAGGGCGGCTTGA